GCTAAAACTGAAGGCTGAGAGGCAAGCACACAGCAATCACTGTTTAACAGTGCTTCCCCTCGGACTTAAAGCATCACTCCATTAACATCATTCAAAATATTTACCTTGTTATTCTAAAGTACTGTATTGGGTCTGACTGGGATGGAGACCCGGTGCGTGTCTCAACGAGATTTAACCTTGGGGGGAAAAATAATCTGTGATGTGAGTGGTATGTTGCAGGAAGGAATGTAGCAGGAATGACCTGAACTGATGAAGAATGAGTTTCGCAAGGAAAGGAACCAGAGAAGTGTAATGATGACCCGAACCAAGCCAGTGCTGGTGCCCAACAATCAAACATGCTGCTTCTCCTGTCTTGAACATCCAGCTTGACAGAAGAGACCCAAGTCAAAGCCTGTTTTTGAACATCTGGAGGAATGGAGGAAGCCCATGGAATATCTATCTGATAAAGAACTGGGAGGCAGAGCTAATAAGAATGTATAAACCTGTATATTGGGTATAAATTATGTGGGACCCGAGCATGATGGAAATGGTATGGAATAAGGGGTGGAGATTGTATTGGGTCTGACTGGGATGGAGTTAATTTTCCCCACAGCAGCCCTCATAGTGCTGTGTTTTGTAAAGGTGTTGATAACACCCCAGTGTTTTGGTTACTGGCGAGCAGTCCTAGCACAGCACCAAGGCTGGCTCTCTATTTCCCCGTTGCCAGGAGGCTGGGGGTGGGGAAGGTCTTGGGAGGGGACACAGCCAGGACAGCTGACCCAAACGGACCAAAGGGATATTCCAGACCATATGACGTATGCTCAGAAATAAAAGCAAGGGGAATGGAGCAGGAAGGGGGGGCATTCGTTATTTACATTTGTCCTCGGGGAACCACAAGGTGTATGAAGCCCTGCGTCCTGGGAAGTGGCCAAACATCCTCAGCTGATGGGAATTAGAGAATAAATATTTTGTTCTTTTGCTTCTGCGCACACAGCTTTGCTTTGCTTCTGTTAAACTGCCTTTGTCTCAACCCACAAGTTTGAGGGGGTTTTTTTGTTCCATCCGCTCCCCATCCTGCTGAGGAGGGGGGTGATAGAGTGGCTTGGTGGGCACCTGGAATTCAGGCAAGGTCAACCCACCACAAGTAAAATGAATTTTAGGCAGGGCACTCTATGTGGTCAAGGTGATCCTCTTAAGTTAAGAAAACACTTGTAACTTCTGTGTTTCACATATATGTCGTACATAAACCTGTATTCAGTTGCCTGAAACTCATCTGAACGATTACTGATGTGAAATAGTAGGGGATAATCACAAGCAAAGTGAAAGAATCTGAAACAATAAGATCAGTTTTTAAAGATTTTAATATATTAAATACTACAGAAAAGCATAATCATTATAAAAGGGGAAGACAGTTTTGATACTTAACTAGGAAAAGAGAAATAAAAGCATTTAATAGAGTAGAAAAAGATTATTATATCTGCAGAAAATCCTTTCAGGAGCTGCTTTTTGTGGTGACAGCAACAGCCCAGCCTCAGCAACAGTGAGGGCTGGACCAGATGACTTTTAAAGGTCCCTTCCAACCCAAACCATTCTATGATTCTATGAAATGCCTAGCCTCAGATCTGCATGGAGAACTTCTGCATCTATCTGATAGCCCAGGAACAGCATTCACCATGTGACATTAGAGGGGAAACTGAGAGAGAGTAGTCCTGTCAACTGCTAAAGGCTCAAAGCCTTAAGTAGTTGCATGATCATATCTCAGTGGAAGTATTAATGTAACTGCAATTTAGGATATGTCCTCAGCCGGTGCAAAGGAATGGTGTCAGGTCTGGCATTGCTACTTCTCCTACCAACTATAATGACTGCTGTGACAGAGAGTTCACAAGAAGTTGTTTAAAAACTAAAGGACTGTTATGGACAAGTCGCTGCCCAGAAGTGGGCAAGGTCAGAGAGATTGAAATCTGGCACCAAAGCAGCAGTTATTTAATGTAATCCATACAAATGCTTTCTTTTAACTTCTACATTTTCTTGTCTTTATTGTCATTCATCATAAAAGAAAACAAAAACCATAAGAGATACTACAGGAGACTCAGAGATCCTAGCCTCATTCCAGTGTTCTCCACACTCAGTCAGCCCTCATTTTAGCACAATTCAATTGAACAAACACTACTGTGGCACACAGACATCTTTCTGAACATCCTAGCACAGAATAGACCAGAATGTGTTTATTAAAAACTTAAAGGTACATCTAATTTAAAAGCCACAAGTTCTTTCTGGCCATACTTTTGCTGAGACTAATTTTACACCTCCTGAAGTTAACAAAGATTTTTCCTGACTGTAAAAGGATTAGATTAGACATAATATTTTTAAAACAAATTCTTCAAGTTTCTTTTTAAATAGATCACCTAATATTCTCCCAAAGAAAGTGATGAAACATTCACAAGTAGATTGTTTTTTATCTGCTTCATCCAAAGCTGATCTAATGAGTGACTATTTGCCTAAATAACCTAGAAGGCTTTTTTCTTCATCTTTGATTATCCAAAGGCTTACAAGGAGGCCTCAAAAACAAACATAAAACATACATCCCTACAGAAAAATTGTAAACGCTAGGCATCACTTAAGAGGACATAGTAAGATAAACAGGTCACACTGGCTAAAATGATGGTAGGAGTTATTTTCAGCAAGGTGTGAACTGGGTATTATCTTCATTTTTCAAACCTCTAACATTGTAACATTAAAATAAGGGTACTAGAAGTTTCTGCAGTTAAGAGTAAAAGGGCCTCAAAAATGCTAAGCAATACCACTAAGTTATGCATCCACAGTTAAAATACCTACACACAATTGCAGACCTTCTGATTTCAGCAAGAAGCCTTGACAAATGATTTCCATTGCAGTTAGACAGTTCAGATTCCAATATGCAGGTAAACAGAAGACGGTGAAAATGTAACAATAAAACTGGCAAGTATTTAAGATATGAGAGAAATTTCTTGAAAAAGTATAAATGTTATCAATATTTGTTAAAACTCTAATTACCCATCCCTAAAAATATACTAACACGAAATAACAGGTCTTTCAGAGTCCTGTTTGTCATCTCTTTATAACTATATTTTATATGGTCATAGGCAGGTGACGTGGATGAATCCAATTCAAGAGATAAGCAGCATGTTTGTACAGTTACACAACCTGGACACCAGCACTGCTCTAACCTTTCCTTTTCTTTGCTACGGCTGGATAGAATCAATTCAAAGCATTCCTGTTCCTGTAAGACCAACAGCAGGTCTACTTGCCTAGCCTTACTCCTTCAAGAATGAATTATTTTCCCAAACAATATCTCAAATTCTTCTGCAGCCCTTCAATAAAAGTTCATCATACGTTATTTTTTGTACTTTTATCACTATTTATGTTCACTAAGTGGCAGTGCTTTCTCACAGTTGGCCACTCTCCAAGTTAGTTTGTTGACTTTTGCTCAGTTATATACTACACACTTTGCTCTTCTATGGCATGTTTCTTTCTTCATGCCATTCCTGAGGTCAGGGAAGTTTTTCTAGAAAATATTGACTCCTTTCAGAAAGGCTATGGTTTTCCTCTTTTCCAGAGCCTGAGAGTTTCACACTGGTGACCTCTTTGTCCACCACTGCAACTATTTTGGCACATGAAGGTTTCATCTCTCATTTTGAAATTTCAAATATAGTTGCATTAGCCCTTCAGTAGCCCAACCAATCCATGTTCTTCCTACAAATGTAGAAACAAGCTTTGTCAGGGCACAGCTGGCCCTGCAGACCTACTCTCTTATTTGAGACAGAATAAACTTTTCCATCTGGGATGATCTGCACATACGGTGGTACAGTCCGAGTTCAAAACTCAATGATCACAGCTGCCCAGTTCCACCCCTTGCACAGTGCTCACTCCTGCAGATGAGAACTAGGTAACAGTTAACAGAGAAGCTCCTTGGCTCTTCCGTGATATAATATCAGTAAACATCATCCAGGACGCATTCAAGCACCCCCTTGCAATGTTTAAAGATGGTTTTATAAACTTGGCATACTGATCCTTAGGAATGCTTTAACTTTTTTTATTCCTCTTGGGTGGTTTGGTTTGGTTTTTTTTTAAGAGGTGAACTGCAGATGATGGGGCCTCTGGGAAATAGAAAAAAAGTACAATTGGACCATCTTCCAGTATAAAATAATTCATGTCATGCCTGCAAATGAAAACTTGTACACTAGTAGAAACAGATATTTTGCTTTGCCTGAACATCTCTTTCCTTTTTTTTTTTCCTATTTTGTAGTGAGACTATGAAGAAAGAAATACAGGATTGTACACAGGAAAATAAAAAACAAAATGAACCTAAAGTAGAGATCATCTGTTGCTTGTGCTAATGACTGCTTAGAAAGTGCACATTTTAAAACTCCTTTCTATTCTGTCATAGAATTGTAGGGCAGTTATCTTTAATAGCCATTACACAGATAGATATATAAAGAATATCTTATTTCTCTAGCAGTTGTTATCCTATCAAAGGAATAATCCTGAAGTGCACTGTGTCATTCACTTTAGTTTTTTAAGGCTGACAACATTTTGCGTAAAGTGCTCTGCCATTCATGGGAGGTGTAAGACCATAACTGGAGGATTTTTTTGCTTTTTTTTTAAGCTGCTTGTAGTGTTAAAAACCAGCTGGTGAAGAGGTGGACATACAGGGCCAGGCTTTGTGAATCAGTGGAGCTATACTGACATGACAGTTTTACACCAGCTGAGCATCTGGTCCTTACGGTTATGAACAACGAGGGAGAACTGGCCTTTCATGCCCTTTGTGGCAAGAGACATTTAAAGAGTAACAGCTGTTCCACTTTCCCTTGGCCAATTTGGACTTATGATTTTTTTATGACTCTGCACAATATGCCTACCCAAACACTATAAATATTTGTAAATGACCTGCTACACAAAAATTTTGCCCTAATTTATGTTCAATTTTTGACTGCATAAATACATCCACTTTCATTAACTAGCATACAAGTAGCTGTACTTACCTGTGATCTAAATGATGAATAGAGAGAATAACCCCTGAATTCAAATGGGCTTGTTTTAAGGTCACCAGGATTGTGAATTCATATTTATTTCTTAACTTCTGAAAAAAGATTTCAGCTGTTTCTGGAGATGCCTTTACACTTCTTGAAGTATCTGGGGAAGAAAAGAAAAAACATAACAGAAAAATCACTCAGTATAAAAATCTTATATTACTTGATGTCCTTAACTCAAAGAGCTTGCAAAACAACAAGCTACTTCTGAGTACCACAACTGAACAGACAGGCAGAAGCAGGGACCAAAGTATTTTAAACACCAGCTTTTACATGCAATGGGAGACATTTCAATAAAAGAAAACACATTTTATAGGACACCTATTCTATTCTGGGGGGGGTTGTTTTGTTTTTAAGACAGAGTCATAACTCTAACTCTTTCCACGGATGGCCAGATGGTACCTTTAATATCTTGTCCAAAATATGGACTCACTAGCACCAAAGCACAAGAGTGACAACACTGGATATGAGCCTAAGCTGTGAAGCACGACCTGAGTGACTTTTTAACGACTTCTACAAAAGTGTTATACTTAATAGCAATGCACAATTCATTAAATATATATATATATATATATAGGCACTAATTAATCACTATATACTCCAGTTGTGCAGTATGTTGCTGCTGCTTGCACAGGATATCATGAACATTTGTTACAGTGATTACACACACACACAATACAGATTTTGCTTTTAAAAACCCACACATAGCCAAGACTGAAGCAATGTTTCTGCTGAATTTGCATGGAACATGCATAGAAAATAAAAAGGCCCAACCTTAAGCCCTCTTTGAGAGATAATTTACAAAATAAGATGTCAAAAGCTAGAAAAACAATTCCCAGGGTTTTCCATAATACATTATACTAGAAAAATATTAATATATATTTTTAATGCACAAAATCAATTCATTAGCTTCTGTAATCAACTGTGGAAGAACTAAATCAATTCACAAGCTTCTTGTCATTGCAATTTGGCCATCCAGCTCTAACTGAGAGACACTAATTCAGGGACAGCACAGAGAGCTAACTGCAATAGAAACGGTGATTTTTTATTTATTTTTTTTTTGGCAGCGCTGGAGCTGAGCTTACATCACAAGCTTAGGTAATAACATGTAATGTAAGCTGACACCGCTGTTCTTAAAAACAGGTTTATTCTTTAAGTCGCACCTATGAAGATACTACTCTGTATTAACAGCAAAAAGTTTATTGTGGTTTACAGACCAGGAATATTTTTTAGTATGTGTTTAAGAAATGCAACAACCTGTACAACCCTGAAGTCCTAACCAAGCTCCTGCACAGCATCACACCAGGCTGAATTTGATCCATTTTTTACAAAGGGAAATCCAAAAGACAAAAAAAAAAAAAAAAGTGAGAGGGGAAAAGACAGAAAAGATCATTTAAAGTTTGTGTGTGTGTGTGAGAAACTTCGTATCTTTTCTACTGTGGATTGCATAACACTGTCACTGTAGCATACATCCATGGCATTTTAATGGAATTGTTAATAAATCATAAAGCAACTCAAATACAATTACATCAAAGAGTTCATTTTTAGCCAAGGGACACTAACAGAGTGGAATGACATAGGTTTGCATGCTGGAAGACAGTTTAACTGCATTAACAATTTCTAGCAATGCAAACAATCTACACTCAAGAGACAGAGCAGAAGAAGGACACACAAGGAACATATTCTCTAATCAGGATCATAGGACCCTCACACACTGCAGTTTTCAGCAGCAGCTTTCCTACCAAGATACAGAGGAAAACCCAAAAATAAAGATGTGGAACCCACTTAAAAGTCTATAGAGTCCGATTCCTAGGTGCAAAGCACAGCTTCCAACCCCATTTGCAGTGGGGGGAGCTGAGTTTCTCAGCTTAGAAAGCCCAGACAACATCCTTTTCTATTGCAGGTTAATTACATCATTAGAGTGTTTACAGTCTCCTTTTGGGTCCACAAACACATTACATGTTTACACTGAAACGAGGACAATGTCATTTTGATTAATGACAGAAGATCTGATGAGGTATCATCAAACTATATTTGTGTGCTTGTGTGCGTAGCCAAAAGAGCAACTGCCCTGAGGGGCAGAGCTCCCCTGCCTGAAGGGCTTGCATCCTTAGAAACCTCAGCCAGGATGAGCAGTGCAACTTTAAATAAAGGTGGGAAAACAAAACCCAGAGCAAACCAAGACCACTGGAATGTGGGAAATCATCTTGCTTACATCTTAATAATTGTTACTACTTTGTAACAACACTCGTCCCTCTGACAACCTTTGATGTTTCTTTTAAACTTACTTGGTAGAGATAGGAACATAGTGGGTATGGTGGTGTTGGGTTGATGGTTGGACTTGATGATCTTGGAGGCCTTTTCCAACCTTAATGATTCTATGATTCTGTATTTCACTTTGACTTCAGCAGATGAGAGAGATTATAGAAACCAAGACTATACACCATGAGCACCTCATGCTTTTTCAGCCACATTAATTCAGGCTGATTCCCCCTCAGCTGAAACATTTCAGGAGTTGTTAGGAGGAAAGGGAAGGGCAGAGAAAAAGTGCTATGAAGATGATTTCCGCATCATCATCTCTCAGCTTCCCTCCATTTATACAGGGCTGATAAAGCACACATCCATGTGAACGTGATAGTGAAGAAGCTGCACAGGTTGTTCATCCAAAAGCTTCTGTGTCTGGTCACTTCAGTCTCGCTCTGATTCAGAGAGTGATCACACAGGAATCTATAGAGGCATTAAGGTACTGAATAGATACTATCAATTTCCATGCATGTATATTGGAGTTGGACACACAATATTTATCGTTTCATATGGCAGCAGAAAAAAGATACAAGGTATACATATCAAATGTGAATTTGATGGGACGAGAGGAGATAGGAAGAGGGTTGCAGGGAAAAAAGTCAAACAACACAGAAGAGAAAGTCATGTCAGAACTGTAGAAAATAGCAGAACCGTAGAAAATTCCCTGGCCGTTCTTGTTCTGCCCCCATTGTCTCCAATGGATTTCTTTAAGCTTTCCCTCAAGACTATGAAGAAACAGTAAGAAGGGAGGTGCAAATGCAGAAAGACTACCTTTTCCCAAGAATCAAGATTTTCCCTGCACAGTTCTGAATCCTGGAAGATGGTAGGGTGTCTCTCTGTCACAATTACCCTTTGGTTCATCCCTCTGCATGGTTCCTAGTTTTAACTACTGCCACACTCTACCAATGGAAATCATAAGCACTCTGTGCCAGAAGTAGAAAATGGTCCATGGAGACTATGCTTGCTTAACAAAAATAAAATCCACAACTTTTCAATTAGAAATAAATATTAATTTCTACCAAATTCTTATTATAGTCTCATAAGGAACCAATGAATAAAGTATATGCATTACACTCCCACCATTTCATAAGGCCAGTTCCAATTGCATATAAATAATTATCTCCCCCTCCTACATGCACTGTTATTCTAACCAGAGCTATGGGGATGCAAACACTGAGCTACAGATTGCCAGTCTTTTAGCAAGGAAACAAACCTTCACCATGGCATGGAGCTCTCCGGAGCTCTCCAGAGCTCTCCCAGTCCTCACTGCTACGCTGAGACAGGCAGGGGAAACACAGAGCTGCCTCTACACCCACAAGAGAAAGATCTTTTTTGAGGCTTACTTGTGTCACTCCTGTAAATCATTACCTGATCCCTAGGCAGGATCAGAGTTTTCCATCCTTCTACCTATAAAACCTTATCTGGGTACCATACACTTACTCATTATGGTTTTAGACTACCTTCTCATATACAGACAAAAGTATCTGATTAGATCATGCTGGAAGCCTGTATATTAAGATTATCATCACATTAACTGTTAGAGTATTATATTGCCAAAAGCTGTGGCCATTTGGTTTTGGTCTTGCAAATAGATCAGTTCATACTTGTTGTACCAAAGAGCTACATCGCCTTTTGAATTATTACAATTCTGATGAAGCATAGCACCCTTTTCTCAGAGCAGGAACCAAGTGGACTTCTTAAATAAAGACCATTGAAAAGTCCTTGATCCATCAAATCCATTCTTTTTACACTAAAACAACAGTGCAAATCCCTCATTCCAATTGCCTTTGAACACTAGCAGTAGGTGCTTGATAGATCACCAGTTGTGCTCAATAAATACTGATTTAGGCTTGTTCTTGACATTTGGCTTCTAGTAATCATTTTAAGACCAAAGGAAAATACTTTACTGGAACTGGACTTCTTCCATAATAGCTTTGAAAATCAAACTGGTATAACTCAGATAATAATTTGTGGTTTCTCAACAGTTACATAAAGACTTCATACTGTGAACATTTCTAATACACAAAACCAAAGGCATAAGTCCTTTTATACTAGAGTGCAAAAAGAAAGAGAGAACTGTTAGCTTGAATGAGAAATTTGTCTCTAGCCATGATACCTATATATTGGTTTTACCTTCCTAGAATATTGCATGTGTTTGTTTTGACCACACTATAACAACTCACATACTCACAATGTTAACAGTTTATTTTTAATTTATAGAAGAACAAAGTTCAAAGTGACAATGAAAGAAACAAAAATCCAAACTTCAAGCACGTCACACCCCTTGTTCAAGTCAAAGGTTATAGCATTGAAATGTTCCTTTACAAAGAACAATAATGTTCACGTGGTAACACACGTGGCTGGTTTGAGACATGAAAGTCCGCAAAAGTACTGAAAACACCACAAGAGACTGGGAGAGAGAGACTGGAGGAAGGGAGAACTAGCTCATACCACGGTTGGCAATGACAATGATTTACAAGGACATTGACCACCACCTACTGTTTGTCTGTCTTTATCTGCGACATCTAGTTATGAGGTGATCAGCTGGCCACAGGCACAGAAAACCAAGATCTAACATTGCAAAGCAATCTGAAAACCCAGTGATGAAAACCACTGACCATAAGACCTGCAGCCAGTTTGCCCTTCAGAGGACAAACTTAGTGGCTGCTTCTACTCTGTGCTTGAAACAGCTGTCACAACCAGGACACATTTTCCCCTCTCAGAAACAATCTGCAATCAGAGCTTTGCAGCAAGCACCGAAGCCACACAAGTGTTGCCTGAAGGTGTCAAGTGTAGATA